CAGCACAAACCTTTCCGTGTTCTTTGCAATAATTACAATTCCTTTTACAGTACAATATCTCCCGAAATATCCCTTGATACCATCACCTTAACCTATCAAAATAGCAAAATAGTTAGCGGATAATTGTTAATTAAGTTAAGTTAAGTTAATTAAGTTAATTTTCGTGATTTATTATCGATTCATTTTCGCTCATTTTTAGGAACATATGGATGGCCTAATGGCATATGGATACCCGCTAGAACTTTCCATGCTTCTTTTGCAGATGTACAGTTTTTCACATAGCTTATCTGCGATGGTTAGATACATGGCAAAATTTGCGAGTATTTCTGGTCTCTTAAATCAAACTGTGCCTTCTGCGCATCATTATCTTCTTCATTTTTCACTTCTCGACCGCACACTACTGACCACAACTCAGAGTGTATTAGCACGCTTTTCATTTGGTTTAGCCACGCACTATAATTCTCATTGTCGAGCTTATCGATTGAATGGAAAGACGAACCCATTTTCGCAATCGATCGAGTCACAATTTCAGAAAGTCAGAAAAATCACTTTCAACCGCCGCACACAGAAATTCTGGGCCCATAACCTATTCGTTGTGGTATTTATTTGTGACTAAATATGAAGAGCAAAAAGATGTCCGTCAAAGGCAGACGGAATACAAATCAAAAAGGGAGACGAGAGAACGCCGCTTCATTGCGACTCGTATATACATATTTACTTATGCTGGATAATGCATAACAGAAAGGAAAAATAGAGAAGACACAGTGCGTTTTTTAAGTTTACATATTCAACGCTAATCAATGCGTCTATCTAAAACTTAAAATGCATGCCAAGAAATATTTTTCGACTTTTCCTGAGTTTTTAAAGTCAAAATTTCGTGGAAAAATACCGCATACAAACCAACAAATTTGATTTTGAAAGCTTAATATTTCCCAGTATTTACCACAAAATACTTTTGTCAAATTTTAGCTGCATCAATATGCTCTTCAGAATGGCAAAGTTATTTACAGCCAATTTACTGGAAAAAGTTAAAAAAAAATACCAGTTTTTTTTATTATTTCAAAAAAAAGTCTGCAACAAAAAATAATACCCCAAATCTTATTAAAAACGAGAAGGAACGTGCAAGTCGTTTCTTGAAACGCGACTTAGTCAGTATGAACTAAATTCAAATTAAAAAAAAAATTTTACATTTTACATTTTTTGCTACATCTGTTTTCACATCTACAATGTATATTCTACATCTAACATTTAGATTATACATGTACCATTTCGATTCTACATCTTTACCGCCAGTGGGCGCTCGCGTACATAACGCGGCAGAGTGTGCGAGCTAGAAGGAGAATGAGTAGCGTGTTTCTGGCTTGCGGTGGCGGGTAAAGAAACTGCAAATTAACTTCTTCATTCTGGCTATAATTATGATCCGATCTGATTCAGATTCTGCAATCTGGTAGATATGGTCATTCTCTACGATACTTTTTACTTTTCTGGTATCTTTGAAACTGTGCCTGCTACAGATTTTCGTACTTTGTGGAGGTGGAAGGGGGCAAGGCGAAATTTCGAAATACATTTGTAGCAGTGTGATATCACATGAGTCTGGAAACCAAATTTGGTTTCTCTAGCTCTTATAGTCTCTGAGATCTAGGCGCTTATCAAGACGGACAGGCGAACATGGCTATATCGACTCGGCTATTGATGCTGATCAAAAATATATACACTTTATGGGGTCGGAAACGTTTCCTTCTCTGCGTTGCACACATCCACTTTTACCATAAATTATTATATATATATATTATATATATTATTATATATACTTATTATATACCAAAAATATAATATACCCTTAACTCTTTTTGAGTGCGGGTATACAAAATTGGTTTTGGTACGAAGCGGAAAAATGGTGTCGGGTAGTGAATTCATTTAACAGAGCAGAAGTCCCACTAGAGGTTCCTCCTTATTACTAAAAAAGTCAAATTGCGGTCCCTTCAGTGGAAAGAATGTGGTCTTTTGGGGTCATGGAAAGTTGCTTCCGTGGGAAAAACGTGGGTGGGAGCGTACGTTCACAATATATATATAGTCAACTAGGATATTGTAGTGTTTTAGAATTCCTACGCTTTACCGTTGAAAACGAAATTCGGCAAAGCGTTTGGATTCTGAAACCCTATGGATCTGCATCCAACAAAAATGTATAGAATGGTTTTAAAAACCTGCAATTTTTGCTTAAGTAGCACATTGTGCAATTAACAGATGAAGAGGAAATGCATTTATATGTGAGAAAAATAGTTTGCTAAGAAAATTAGCTCGCTCGAATATTTCCAATACCCGTATACCAATACTCGTATACCCTCATATAACAATTTCCAATATACTTTCCAATGTACCAAAAGTGATTAAAACAGGATTTATTTGCTTTTGGACCGTCAAAAATGTAGCAAAAAATAGCTGAAACCATCACAAAGACATACAACTTATAAAAAAATTTAAACCGAAAAAGCTTATTACGTTTAGTTTAAAAAAAGAACTAAGAAACTTCAAACTACTCCTCAATGGCCTTTGTTTCTGATGTTAAAGAATATCCTCATCGAAAACAGTTTTTGGATTGTTCGAAATAATTTAGTGCGAAGGAAAACGAACTTCATCTGATGTCGGTTAGGTTGTTATAAATTTTTTGATTCCGTCCGAAGGTATTAAATGGTATTCGATGGTATTTTGCTAGCCGCTCAAAAAATATGGAATTGTTTTATATTCCGCCAGGGTGCGTAGAAAACACAAACGTAAAAATTCCAAAATGTAGTAAAAACGAGAAGGTACGAGTGAGTCGCTTCTGGGGACGCGACTCTACTTATACCCGTACTCAGTCAGTATATATATTTTTGAGCTTATGATTATTTAGAATTTTAGAAAATATAGTTTATTCCCCCGCCTCCTACTGTAAGAGACCCGCTACTCATTCTCTTTCTCGCTGGCACATTCTGCCTCGTTATGTACGCAAGCGCCCGCTGGCGATGAAGACTTAATGAATTTTTAAAAAAATTTTTAAATTCTACATAAATTATAAGCTAAAAAATTTATATACTGACTGAGTACGGGTATAAGTAGAGTCGCGTCTCCAGAAGCGACTCACATGTTCCTTCTCGTTTTTATTTGTTAACATATAAATGTTTGCATATTTTGCATATTTCTTGCATAGTTTGCATATAATAGTATATTATATATATATATTGGCGACATCAGAATTAAGCTATCTTAATCATTTAAAAATATGCAAATATGCAAGATCCGGGATACACCTAATAAGAGCGGAAATTCTTGAACGTGTACAGTGCACTATGGGGAAAATTCCAATTTTTCGGGTATTAATTAATAACTTTTAAACTAAGCAAGATTTTTCGATGCGGTTTTTTTATTTATGTTATGAACACCCCTAGAAACATTTTTGGAAAAAGTAGGCGTGTTACCGCCCACAAATTAAATAAATAAATAAAAATTAAATTTATATATAAAAATAAAGTTTTACTTTTGGAAAAACTTCATTTTGATGAAATTCAGGAGCTAAAGAAAAAATAGTTAATATTAATAGAAATTTTCTTAGTTTTTTCTTAATTCATCTTCGAAATCCTCAAAAGTTTGATATGGGCCTTCAATTTCACATAATAAGAGGATTTAAAAATCGATGGGAAGGGCAAGGTCTTTATGCTTGCTGCTTGAATCCACAAAGAGACATTTCTCTTGAGTTTTTGATAGAGCTGCTGCTTGTTTTTTTTAGCTCCTACCCCTTTAACAAGTAAGCCAACTTTGGATGACCAATTTGTCGATTATTGTTCTTATTTGAGTCGCTTTTGTATAATTTTGTTGTGCTCATTAACCAATTTTAATGATTTTTTCGAAATATTTTTTGTTCCGCATGCATTTTTTCCATTTGGCATTCAAGTTTCGGCACACAATTTGACTTTTACTCTTTAAATATAGCACATGTTTTAAAACATAAATGTTTTTATTAAATCTCTTCTTAAAAAAATCCAGAATCGCATTTTCTTGATTGCATTTGCCTTTTTCCTTGCGCCATAAATCAAACAGCTGCGCGTTTGAAAACTCGAAGTCCGCTGCAAATAATTAATTTTCGCAGATAGTGCGCAAAAGTGTGCATTGAGACAAACTGCCTTTAAATCAAAATTATTAGCTCTACGACATACAATTGCACGTACACTTATCAACCCTTATACTTTTTTTATGTCTCCACGAACTTGAAATATATTTCCAAGAAATGTGCTTTGAGAACGTTTCCTACTTTTACAAAATATTAATAGAACACCCACAACTACAAAGTATTAGTACAACCATTACGTAGCTAAAACCCGTGTGATTGCTATCCTTTTTAAAGTTCACAAAAAGAATGTTTCGCGTTTGAATAGTGGCATTTTGAAAATAGGCTGCAAAAATATTGCAATCTTAAAGCAATGGCTTTTCTACAGCAACAGCTGACTTTAACAGCTGTTAGACTTAACAGTGCTATGTTATATAACATTTTTGGTATCTTTACAGTTTGAAGTTCTCTTAATATGTTACCAAAAAAAAACAACCAATTTTAATACTTTGAGAAAATGACTAAATACCCGAAAAATGGGAATTTCCCCCATAGTGCAGTGGTGGCAGTTTTTTTTTTTAATTTGGGAGATGTACAGCAACAACAAAAAGTAATGTGCTCTACTCTTTGTTATAAAAGCAATCTATCAGCGAATTAACCATACAACTATAACCATTATCGCGTCCTCTATCGGGGGAGATGTATAATCTACACTGTAGATGTAGAAGACAGATGTAGCTCAAATATATACTGACTAAGTACGGGTATAAAAGTACAGTTGCGGCCAATGTTCAATGTTCCCTTTCCCTCTCGTTTGTTTTGGATTCCCGGTATTGAAAATTCTGTCCCAAAAAAAAAATGTTTTGGAAAAAACACAGCTAATGCAATTTTGACAACTTATATTGATATTTTCTTACAGAAGCAGATTATACTCTTGACGATTCTTTTTGGAATGAAGAAAGTCCCGTTGGTAAGTTTTTATCGACGTTACCCAGAATAAAATTATAGAATATAAATTATTCGTTCAATCTACTAAATGGAACAAAAAACAAATTTTCGTCATAAACGTTGATTTAAAGTTTGCACTTCGGTGGACAGTAAAGTTTGATGAATATAGTTAAGTCCAGAAATATACTAATAAGCTTTTAAACATCAGCATACATCAAAACTACCGTTATGTCTACAAGGAGGGCAGCGACCAAGATTCGATAGTCATCCGATTCCGAGGAAAACACAATTATTTAATGTAAATATTTATATTTATTTATAAATTATTATACCCGTACTCGAAGAGTTAGATTTGTGGTAAAAATGAAATCGCTAAAAAAAATCTATTGTGATATCTAAAGATATAGATATTTATTTTTAAAGTAAAAATTTCGAAAAAAAATGCCTCACAAACATTTTTTTTTATTTGAAAGCTTAATATTTCCCAAGCGGTAAGCTAAAATCATAAAATGTGTGGGTGTGTTTATACCCGTACTCAAAAAGAGTTACGGGGTATATTGTATTTGTGGTAAAAGCGGATGTCTGTCTGTCCGTCTGTTTGTCTGTCCGTCTTGATGAGCGCCTAGTAATCAGAGACTATAAGAGCTAGAGCAACCAAATTTTGTTTCCAGACTCATGTGATATCACACTGATAAAGTGTATTTCAAAATTTCGCCCGCCCCCATCTGCCACTACAAAGAACGAAAATCTGTAGCAGGCACAATTTTAAAGATACGATAAAACTAAAAACGCAGTATCGTAGAAAATATCCATATCTACCAGATTGCCGAATCAGATCGGACCATAATTATAGCCAGAATGAAGAAATTTTCAGTTGCTTTCCCCGCCACAGCAAGCAAGCTAATCATTCTCTTTCTCGCTCGCACACTCTGCCTCGTTATGTACGTGTGAGCCTTCTAGCGTAGGAGATGTAGAATCCAAATGGTACATGTATAATCTACATGTTAGATGTAGAATAAAAATAGTGGATGTAGATGTAGAAAACAGATGTAGCAAAAAAATGTTCAATGTAAATTAAGCTCAAAAATGTATATACTGACTGAATACGGGTTTGACTAAGTAGAGTCGCGTCCCCAGAAGCGACTCACACGGTTCTTCTCGTTTATAGATGCATTTCTTAGCTATTCAGAATGGCAAAGTTTATTACAACAAAATGTCATATACTAAAGTTATGTGAAAAAATGAAGCGCTACCTCTGAAAAAGCATAAAAAAATAAAAAGTTCTGCGGAATAAAAAAATGTAAAGCTCCCAATTTATGAAAAAAAGTCAGTTTGGTTTGAAGCGGACAAAAAATTCAGTTTTGTCGAGTAGTAAACTGCTAAAATGGTTTGACGAACAAAAAACTTACAAAAAGAAATTCCATATATTTTAATTCTTAAAAAAAACGTTGTGTTTTAGAGGAAAAAAGCCTCATTGAGTATTTTTAAAGCCCCAAATCTATCAAAAAAAAGTTTGTTTGGTTCGAAGTGGAAAAATGGTTTTGATCAGTGAAATTGACCGCTTCATCTGATTTCACGATGGTGTTAATCGTATTTTATATGATGCATCGTCCGGTTGTCTGCCCCACTGGTAACTTTCTATTCCCAATGTCTAGTATTTGGTGTGAGAAGTTATCGGCCGATAGATCATTCTGTAATTGGACACGCACTTTTGTATTCAACTGTAACAGAGTGACATAATGTGTCGCAACAAATTTTTATATATTTGTCGCTTTTTATAAGTCATCGTGCATAAAACCTAAACAATGAGTTTAGATTTTTGAGCTGTTCTTCCTTCTGGTAGCAATGTCGCATTATATGATCATAAATGTCATTCTGCTCAAGCGTCAGCTTGGGAATATGACAAAAAATCAGCACTAACTGCAACTAACTTTGCTCTCCACGCAAACTACATCAAACGAATCAGTAACAGCTCGGTTTGGTGCTGGCATTCTCAACTGTATGTGTGCAGTAATAAGAGGGAACTTCTGAATACAGCAGTGTTTCGGCGAACTCTTTGAAATTTTTTTTTTTCTGTAATTCTTTTATTGATGCAACAAAAAACACAAATGACAATCTTCGATAATATTATGTGGGATTTGGTGAGAAGCCACAGAGAGCAGCAGAGTCTGTTAAGCTAACAGCGCCCGTAACAGATAGAGAGACCAGAAGCGGCAGTCGAAAGAATAAAGAGAACAAGAGTTCAACGATCGACGCCAGACAGTTCGGTGCCAACGTTTCTCCCGAAAACACGCAAGAAGCAAAAGCGCAGCATTCTATTATATCCAATATTATAACCTCGTTTTAAACATACACCCATTGTAACCAGAGCAAATATCTAATAATAATAAAAATCAAACATTAAATATAATAAACACTATCGTCCTGGATCATTCTAACAACTACGGAAAACCCAGGGCCACAATTTTTGGAGGCTCAGCCGGAGATTTGAACAGTTACAATCGGGAAGTCATCAAACTAGAATGTGTGCTTAAAAAGATATATTGGAACATTAATTGAATCGCTTCGGAGCTGGTTGGAACATTCTGGAAACAAATTTCCAAACGAAACTCTACGGCGCGCAAAGAAATATCAGAAAAGCGTGCGAGTGGGCGAGACGGCGGCAGGCAGCAACGGCAAAGAGAAGAAAAACCGAAGCAAACCGAATCAGGAGGAACGAGAGGAACAGCAGAGAAGGCGACAAAAATAAACGAGTACCCAAGCTGGAGGCAACGTAAAACTTTGTGGATGTTCAGCAGCGTGCATTAGGCAGGATCGTTGGCGGTAGACATCTGAACAAAGTGGAAGGCTTGGAGCAGTGATGGTACCTGGCGGATCGCAAGTGCTGGACAAAGGCGACTGGTCAAGGCCAAAGGTTTGCAAGAAAAAGACGGCGTGTAAATCGGCAAGACTGTGCGTGCAAGAAATGAGACGCAGCAGTCAAAAGCTGTAAAAGCAGAAGCAGGCGGAATAGAGAGGAACAACGTGAGCAGCATAGAGGGCGATAAAGGAACGCAGTACTCAACCTGGAGGAAACGCGAAAATTTGTGGATGACCAGCAACGTGCAGTAGGCAGGATCGTTGGCGGTGGACATCTGGACAAAGCAGAAAGCGTGGATCAGGGAAAGTAGCTGGCAAACCGCACGTGCTTAGCGTTGGAAAATTCAGGAGCATCATTTCGGCGAGAAGAAGACGAGAAAATTCTAAAGCTGTATTGGTGTGGCGTCGACAAGTCTGGAGCGGTGTTGGTGAGAGAGAGACACCAACGACAATTCCGGTGCTGTATTGGTGTGGCAACGACAATTCTGGTGCTGTGTTAGTGAGAGGACGACGAAAATTCTGGAATTGGTTGGTGAGGGTGAGTGGTAGCGGAATATTCCAAAGCGAGATAAGTCTATCCCGAATTTCGACTGACAAAGAGGAACCGACAAACAACCTGGAAAATAATAGGAAGAATGGAAGAATAACAGATTGCATTTGGCAATTGTGCTGTTGTTTAACAGAGTCATTTAACATAGTGTTAAGTTTGCATGTTCAATAAAATAACATAATAATTAACATAAAGTTTGAGGAACGGAACCTGTTAAGTATTAAGGTCTAAGAAGCGCTGAGATTCTCAAACTGTATTTAGCCGAGCGAACGGCATAGATCCATTTCTTATTCTTTCATATTGTTGTAAAAGTTTGTAAAAATGAATAGAGACGAGATTTTGGCATTGGCTGTGGCAGGGTTACGTGCAAAATTGGCCGAAATAGGTTTAAACAGAAACGGAAGGTAAGCTGAGCTGCAAGACAGACTGCTGGCTCACTATGGTATTCCGACAAATCAGAATAACGATGAAGTGATGAAGAAGAGATCCAAGATGACGTTAATGAAGTATTATCTTTTACGACGGCAGATTCGAATACTGCACAGCAGGGTAGAAGGGAAAGGCGAGATGAAAATCCAAGTGGATCGGGTCCAAGACGTCAAGCAGACATGGTTAGTTCAGGTCGATCCTGGTTTACATTGAAAGATGTAGAAGGCAGTGTGTCGCAGTTTTCAGGTGTAAGCTCGCCAGACGTAAATCAATGGATAGAAGAACTTGAAGAGTTTGCGCTGACGGTGGAATGGAACAAATTGCAGGTGTTTATTTATGCAAAACAATTGCTCAGTGGGGCAGCAAAGTTGTTTGTAAGGAGTCAGCGCGATATTCGTGATTGGAATGATTTGAAGAGTGCATTGATCGACGAATTTGGTGTGAGGGTGTCATCAGCGGAGGTACATCGTAGACTAGGGAAACGGCAGAAGAAAAAGAACGAAACGTTGCACGAGTATCTGTACGCTCTGATGGAGTTGGCAAAGCCGATCGATATGGAGGACGAAAGCTTAATCGAATATTTGGTAATGGGATTTCAGATTCTAATGCAAATAAGGCTTTACTACATCAGGCTAGGAGTATGTGGCAGTTAAGGGTGCAAATCGAGGCATACCAGAAGATCTCAGGGTCAATGAGACTGCAAGGGAAGTTTGACTCACACTTCAACAAAGGAGATAAACAGTTAGTGAAAGGTGCTGAAAAGTTTAAAAAGTGTTATAATTGCGGGGATGACTCGCACATTAAACGGGATTGTCCAAAGAAAGATAACAGGTGTTTTAGGTGCAACCAGTTGGGACATAGGGCTGCTCAATTCAAGGTCGAGATGACAGTTAGACAGGAAAAGGCAACCAATCTAGTTCTGGAGAAAGGTATGACTAAGCCATCAAGCACGTTCACGTCTTCCGGATTAGAGTTGAAATCGGTGAGGTATGGAAGAGTAGCGTTTAAAGGACTAGTCGATACAGGTGCCGACTTGTGTCTATTACGCAGAAGTGTGTTTTTGAAGATCGGTAAAGAAAGATTGGCAGGACGTGAAAAATGTCTAACAGAAATTGGTGAAATTCAAATTATAACTCTTTGAAGCATCACCATACCTGTACATATTGATGATATTGACTTAATAG